TTCTCAACTTACTAACTTATTCTCCAAATCATCTGAAGGCAGGACAAGAAGCAACGGATGGAAACCGATCGAGGAGAGAAGCAACCTGGAATTAAGTATAAACTTTCTAACAGTGAGGATAATTAACCAGTGGGAAGCTGGAGGCTTTTAAGAAAAGACTGGACAGCCACCTGTCCGAAATGGTGTAAGGTCTCCTGTTTGAGTAGGACGTTAAACTAGAACAGGGATTGGCCAACTTTTTGAACCTCAGGGACCACCAAACTTTAAATCCCGTGGACCGCTAATATGAATTTTGACTGATGGTAGCTTGCTGACGTTTTCCCAGGGTCTCTGCAAAAAAGCAGCAGAGACCCTGGGAAAATTCCCCCAAAAAGTCTGCAGGGAAATTCCCCACCCCGTTTTCCTATCGATGGATCGCTCTTTATTTGGGATCGCAGGATACCGTCTCCAGGATACCGTTCTCAAGGGGGAGAAAGATCTTTTAGCTTCATGCAAGGAAAGCAGCAGAAGTCTTTCTTTCTCTCCCCCAAATTCTGCCACAAATGAGTCTTTGTGAGACTTGTCGTGGAGCGGGAGGCCTTGCAGGGACCCAAAGACTCATTTCTGGTGGAGTTTGGGGGAGAGAAAGAAAGACTTTTTCTGCTTTCCTTGCGTGTAGCCAAAAGCAGAAGAAGAAAGAAGCAACCCGGTGCCCAGGGGAGGCGCGTGTGGCAAGTTCCCCTAACCCTCCACCCTTTCCCCCTCCCCTCACTACCTCATGTTGTTCACAAAGCAAGCAACGCAAGCCTTGTGTTCCCGTGGGCCATGTGGGTGGCACAGCCTTGTGTTCCCGCGCAGCCTGGATTAATTGCTTTGGGAGCGACATTTCTCTGCGGACCAGCAAAATTTTCTCGCGGACCACCAGTGGTCCCCGGCCCACCGGTTGGTGACCGCTGGACGAGATGATCTCCAAGATCCCTTGCAACTCTGTTATTCTGTTATTATCTAAATCCTGAATTATGGCCCAGGGGGTAACAGAGCTGGATGTTTTTCTTTGCAGCTACTTGAAACCCGACGAGGACAAGAAATCGAAGCATAAGACGGCCGTGAAGAAGAAAACGCTCAACCCTGAATTTAATGAGGTAAGTCTGTCTGCCAGGATGTCTTCTGTGTCAAAGGGAGAACTTCGGGGCGGATGGAATCTAACCGTAAGGCTGTCTGTGAAATGATAAAACAGGATGAAGCAGCAAATATTTTTTAATATCTCTAAGTATCCCTGCAAGGCTTTCTCTGAAACGATGAGCAGAAATAGAGAAGCAAATCCATTGGCCACTTTAAGATGGTTGGACTCCAAGTCCCAGAATTCCCCCAGGCCGGCTTGTGGGTTGGGGAATTCTGGGCGTTGAAGTCCATTCGCCTTAAAAATGGTAAACTTTGAGAAAGAAATGGATCTAAGAGTTGGTACATGACACACTTCCCCATGATTCCTCTCCAGAAGATCCAAAATTCTTATAGATTCTGTCCAGGCCATTATTCAAAAGAACAGAATTCCAGAGTCGGAAGAGACCTTGGAGGTCTTCTAGTCCAACCCCCTGCTTAAGCAGGAGAACCTATGCATTTCAGACAAACAGCTCTCCAAACTTTTCTTAAAAACCTCCCGTGATGGGAGCATCCGCGACTTCTGGAGGCAAGTAGTTCCACTGGTTATTTTTGGCTGTGGTTCCATCTTGTAGGATAATACCTTACCAGACCACCGGGGCAAAATTCATTCACCTTGTAGACTTCTTGATGGCTCCAGGATTGGGAGGTTCCAGGGCTCCCCTTTTTGGCCACGACGGCATTCCTGCAGCCCTTTGCCAGCGAGAACAGAGCTTGAGGGGGCCCTGCAAGCCCCTCCAGGGCCCCGTTTTCGGCCAGGAGTTGTTTGTTTTTGCTGCAAGAGGGCTGCAGAAAGCCAGCGTGGCTGCAAATGGGACCTGGGAGGGTAGTGTGCGGCAGTGTGCTCCTCCAGTAGTCAAATCTCATGAGGAACTGGTGTGGGAGTCAGGATTAGCATCAAGGCAATCTGAGAGCTCCAAGCGGGAAGAGGGAATGGAGCTGTCAGAGAGAGGAAGAGAGAGAGAGAGAGAGAGAGAGAAAAGGGGGGGGTAGAGAGAGAGAGAGAGAGAGAGAGAGCCTGGGCCTTCCGTCAGCCCTCAGATGGAGAGTCAACAGCCCCCAAGTCTGGAGGTGGCTGATGAGGAAGAGGAGGAACAGCCGGGTCCAGTGCCTGATATGCAGATGCGCAGAAGGCAGAGGAGAGGAGAGCAGTGGAAATCTATGGGCCGGTCCTTGGGACGGAAGAGCCACCGCTGCTAGCGAAGCCCCTACTCAAGCTCTGGGGGTAAAGGGCAGGGGGCGGAGATGAATAGATGTGGCAGACAACTATTCACCTCCCAGCCGGCTGGATGTTAGACTGTGGTGAGTAAGAAACTTTTTATTGGGGCTGCCGGCACTCCTAATTAAAGGAATCTTTTGAGTTCATATCAGAGGGTTTGTCATGTTTGGGAGCCGGGTCAGAACACAGATATTCTCTTGGGTGTCTTCCCTTTTTAACTCCAAGTCATTTTAACGCCAGGCTACAGTTCCTAATTGAAGCTCAGACACAAACATTGAAATGTGGATCCAGCCCTTCTAAAAAATCAATTTTGCAAAGGAACGGAACAGGCTTTTGCCTGGAATCGCCTCCTCGCTCATATTAGTACCTTCCAGAACCTCAAACCCAGCAAAAGATTGATTTTTTTTTCTTGCTTTCGTTCACATTTAAAATGCCCCTTAATCTCATTTCACACTTTCAAGCCAATCGCATTTTTAAGCAAAGCTCCTTTTCCAAAATGCAGACTTCCAAATTTTGGAGTGTCGCGTGCTAATTGAAACAGCATTTATTCGGGGGGGTGGGGGGGGAAGGAGCTGCGAAAAGAGAAACACCCGCGAAAGGGATGATTAAAATGATCTGTATAAAAATCCATGTGAAGGATGCCTGTCTGTGAGGCAACTTGGCGTGCCATCTCATTGGCAACTATTATAAAAACTCAGACAAATCGTGCAGCGTTTTAAACACATCTCGATTGAAACAGATTAGCTTTCATAGATCTGTGTTTCGTTGTTTTTTTTTAAATTGTTGACATACGTTGTAGACACAGTTAAGTGTGAAGGCGTCAGCAATGTCAGGTTGTGAGTTCAAGCAGGCAAGAAGATAGGACACGAATACACAAACACACACCAGTAGATGCAATTCTGAGTTTCATTACTAAGGATACTTATGATACATTCCTTGGTGATCTCTAATGCAGTGTTTTCCAACCGTGACAACTTTTAAGATGGGTAGAATTTCAACTCCCAGAATTCCCCAGCCAGCCATGCTGACTAGGGAATTATGGGAGTTGAAGTCCACGCATCTTAAAGTTACCACAATTGGGCAACAATTCCCTAATCCTAATGAGCTAAAATAGTCTTACTTCGAGATGTTCCTGGAAGGGAGTGATGCTTTTAAATTGTCAAAGTGTGGCTAAACTATTTTTCAACAAATTAAGTTTGTGTTTATTTAATGAGGACCTTCGAACTAAGCATGCTTGGACTCTTGCATCCCCAAACCATCCTATGCTTTTGTTAGAAATTCTGTTTTATACAGTATATAGCAGCACAGACCCAAACAAAGAGTACAGTCACCATGTGCTTTACTGCTTAACTGTAAGGGGAAACAGGAAAGTCTACTTAGTACAAAAGAACATATATACCATGCATCCAAAGTTGTAAACACTGCCACCTACTGGCTGATTACTACTGTAATTGTTGCATAAAAATACATTCCAACGAAAATGTATTCCAGCAGTTTTCTGCAGCCAATAGCCAAAACGGACTTAAATAAAATGTAGTGAAGGTAGTCCTGGACTTACGACTACAACTGAGCCCAAAATTTCTGTTGCCAAGCCAGACAGTTCTTAAGTGAATTTAGCTCCATTTTGCAACCTTTCTTGCTACAACTGATAAGTAAATCAATGCACTTATTCAGTAAGTAACATGGTTGTGAAGTGAATCCGGCTTCCCCATTGACTTTGCTTGTCAGAAGGTCCCAAAAGGGGATCGATCACATGACTCCTGGGACACTTCGACTGTCATAAATACGAGTCAATTGCCAAGCCTCCAAATTTTGATCATGTGAGTGCTGCAACGGTTGTAAGTGTGAAAAACGGTCAAAAGCCACTTTTTGTCGGTGCCTCTGTAACTTTGAACGGCCGCTAAATGAACTGTTGTAAGTTGAGGATGATCTGTACTACTTAGCCTTTGTATTACCATCAAAGAAAAGGAAGACACAATTATTTCCTGCCAATTAGAACAATAAACTTGCTTCCAGAAATTGTGGGTGCTTCATCCCTGGAGATTTTGAAGAAAAGATTGGACAGCCATTTGTCTGGAATGGTATAGTGCAGTGGTGTGTGCACCCTTCCCCATGCCCCCTGTGCATGCGCGCACAATCTTCCCCTGCGCCCCCCCTCACACTGCCGCCTTACCTGCACTGCGCCTTACAGCTGATTTTTCACTGGTTTGAGGCCTTTTTCGGCCTCCCAGAGGCTTGAAAAAAGCCTCTGCAGGCTTTGCAGGACGAATAATAGACCCGTTTTGTCACTTCCGGTATTACAGGAAGTGATGAAACGGGCCTATATTCAGCCTGCAAAGCCTGCAGAGCCTTTTTTCAAGTCTTTGGGAAGCCAAAAAAGGCCTCAAACCAGCCGAAAATCAGCTGTGAAGCGCACGCATGCGCAGTGAGGCAAGTTCGCCTGTGGCTCGCGTGCCAGCACAAATGGCTCTGCGTGCCACCTGTGGCACACGTGCCATAGGTTCGCCATCACGGGCATAGTGTCTCCTGCTTGAGCAGGGAGTTGGACTAGAAGACCTCTAAGGTCCCTGCCAACTCAGTTGTCCTGTATTTTGATTGTGGATGATCAAAAGCTCGCACTGTCGTTTAGAAACCTTAGAAGACTTGCTTATATCTAGTATAGGTGTACTGTTTAATTATATGGACTGAATAATTTTCCTCCTTTTTTTGCAGGAATTTTTGTACGAGATAAAGCATGGCGATTTAGCCAAGAAGACCTTGGAAGTTACAGTCTGGGATTATGACATTGGCAAATCCAACGATTTTATTGGTAAATCTGGGTATTGGATGGGAGGTGGCTGAAGATTGGAACGCTGGGCTCCCACAGTGCTAATTTGCAATGGATCACACAAATTCTCACTGGTTGTGATTCTGTCGTCATTCACACACTCTCAGTCATGTTAAGTCCACCTAATTATAGCACTTCTGATTCAGTTAGGCCAGAGTTTCCCAAACTTGGTCACTTTAAGGTTGGTGGACTTCAACTCCCATAATTCCCTGGCCAGCATGCTTGAAGATGGGTGGGACTTCAACTCCCAGATTTCCCCATCCATCATGCTTTGAGGTGGGTGGACTTCAACTCCCAGAATTCTTCAGCCAGCATCCCTTAAGATGTATGGGATCCTATGAGATTGTGGAACTCTCATTTTATTTATTTATTTACTTGTTTATATCCTGCCTTTAATATTTTTACAAACAACTCAAGGCAACCAAACATATCCAGTACACCTTCCTCCTCCTATTTTCGTTCAAGAACCCTGCGAGGTAGATTAGGCTGAGAGAGAGAGAGAGAGAGAGACTGGCCCAAAATCACCCAGCCAGCTTTCCTGCCAGGACTAGAAATCCTGGTCTCCTGGTTATGGGCCCAAAATCACCCAGCTGGCTTTCTAACCAGAAGCCAACTAGAACTCACTGTCTCCTGTTGATTGGCCCAATGCAGGAGTGTCAAACTCAATGCCGACAGGCCCCAACCAGCCCGCGGGGTGCTTAAATCCGACCCCTGGAGCCGGCCTGGAAATATCAAGGGACCGGCCGGCAGTGCCACTAGTGGCTAAAATAGACTGCATGTGGGCTCCCTTGCGCTTCATTTTCCCCCCTCCCAAAACAGCCCTAAAAATGAGCTGAAAACAGGGCCGAAAACAGTCCAAAAATGGGTCGAAAAAGGCCCCCAAAACCATCTTAATGGGCCCAAAAACCCACCCCAAAATGGCTTGAAAATAGGCCTGAAAATGGCCCAAGAAACCACCTGAAAAGGAGCCCATAAAACTGGCCGGAACCAGCCCCAAAACCTGCCCTAAAAAGGGCCAAAAACAGGCCGAAAACAAGCCCAGAAAAAGGCCAGCAGAGTACTGCAGGAGGCCAAGCGGGTGTGGAAACGAGGTACGGGGTGGTGGGCGTGGTCCCCCCACGCCCTATTTTGGCTAGCAGGGTGCTGCAGAGCCATTTCCCCCCGCCCTCCCCTGCTGGCCTGCGAACAATTATAATACTGATCCGGTCCTTCAAGAAAACCAGTTTGACACCCCTGGCCCAAAGTCCTCCAACTGGCTTTTTCATGGCTAAAGCAAGACTAGAACTCACCATCTCCTGGTACTTGGCTCAAAGCCACCCGGCTGGCTTTCATGCATAAGATGGGACTAGAACTCATGGTCTCCTGGTGAATGGCCCCAAATCTTCCAGCTGGCTTTCTTAGGTAAGGCAGAACTAGAACTCCTGGTCTCTAGCCTGGTGCCTTAAACCACTAGACCAGGCCAAACCGGCTTTCCTTGATCATCCTGGTGACTTGTTTCCATCTCTTCCGTCGCTTTGTGCATCCAGGTGGCGTGGTTCTGGGCATCAACGCCAAAGGGGAACGTCTGAAGCACTGGTTCGACTGCTTAAAAAACAAGGATAAGAAAATCGAACGGTGGCACACGCTTACCAACGAATTACCGGGAGCTCTCCTCAGTGACTGACTGTCAGACCTCAAACCCAGGACCTCACCCGCCAACCGTCAGGGAGACCGCTGGCTGTGGATTGTGGGGTGTTGTTGTTTTTTTTGACCGCACACGATTCCTTCAGGGCTTCCTGGGGCAAAGGGGAGAAACTGACTGGACTGGGCAGGGGAGGGCATGCAGGGGTTGGGATTCTATTGGTTCAGACAGGTTTGAGGGAACCGGATGTTAAGTTTGCATCTGGTTTGCCGAACCGGTTATTTCAACCGACCGACGGGCCCTGCCCGCCCCTCCCCTCTCAGAAGTCTCCGCGTGGCCCATTTTCAAGTGCAGAGGCTCTGGGGAGGGCGAAAAACGGGCCTTCCGGAAGTCCGGAAATGGGCCTGTTTCCGGATT